AAGGCAGGCACACACTTAGGGACAGACACCCCATGATTACTAACAGTAATGGTTGCCAGCCAGTCCTTCAAGCCAAACTGAGCAGCTACCCTTCAGCTGCCTTGATTCACGATCCAAGAAGATTTTACAGTGAGAAAACAAGTCTGCATGGAAGATAATTTCTTCCTGCATTCTTCTGTTGATAAGCACGGTAATACCTACATGGCCACAAATATTGTTTGGTGTTCTTGGCATTCTGGTGAAAGTTTATATAAAGTGCATTTTCTTCATATAAGCTTAGAAACGGAGCAAATTACCGAGTTCCATTACAAACCTGATTAAATCTATTCTCATTAAAATCTCTGGCTGTGATAATGCAGTTGTCTTAGAGGCTTTGAATCATTTTCTGGTTTTTGAAATTTGGTGAAGTATATAGGAGGTTGCCAGATTGCTCTTTTGTCCTGTAAAAATGACCAACTAACTTCTTAAAAATGTCTTACAGTCTTAAAATATGTTGCTTTCACAGGGGAAATACATGGATATTGAGTTTGATTTCAAGGGTGACCCACTTGGAGGAGTTATAAGCAACTGTGAGTATTACTCTTGCTACCAGCGTATTAACAGCTTAAAATGTTTTGTTCAGAAAGGAAGATGGTTAAATTATTGAAAAGATCAGCTGCATTTGTCTGATCGAATCTCTTTCCATTATGTGATAAATTCTGCTTTTTAATTTTATTGTTGTTTTGGTGCTGAATAGTGTACCTTAGAGTAAGTGAGAACAGACTTAAAGAAGTAAGCATGAATAATGAATGTACTGTATTGTTTAAAAGTTTGAGTAATGTGCATGGGTTTGTATATTGTGTCTGAAGCTGGTAGCAGATGGATAAGGATATCCGAGACACTTTTTATACTTGAATCCCTAGGATCAGTTGTGTTATGTGATTTGATGGGTCGTGTATTTATGATAGGTGATGTCTGAGATGCTTTGTATCATTCTTACAAAACAGCATATGCTGGAGATCACTATGAGGTGGATATATTTCTTTGGGATCAAAGCATTCTGTACTGGTTTTAACATGCCTCACAGTGCAGGAAAAGGCTTATCATGAGAGCGGGTGAACAGCTGTTGAGATTAAGGCAGCAAAGGTGGCCTTGGTGAGGATGCTGCTACGAAATCTATAGCAATTCAGAAATTTTAACCAGCCTCTATTGGGAAGAAAGAGGCTGGGAACTGAATGCCAGCGCAGGATGCTTTGACTTGCTTTCCTTTCAAGAGTTTAAATGCAGCTTTTAAAAGAAATTGCTCTTCTGCGCTATATAAAGCTACATTTGTTTGGTTTTGGTTTTGTTTTTTTGTTTTTTTTTTTTAGAAGAGATGGAGAAGGGCAGTGAGTGACTATACTAGGTGTCACTGACCTAACCTTGACCTGTCTTCCCACTTAGCCAAATCCGTGGCTGTTTCTAAAGACTGACTTCTGACTCCATTGGCATTTTACTGGTTGTGAAATAATGGGGGTCATCCAAGATGAACTGTACTCTCTATATAATATAAACCTTTTAAAACGTTGGGATGAATTTTACACATAAAACTAGGTTTTGGATTTTTTTCATAGGGCAAACATTTTTTTTCTGGACTAGGTCACCTTTTGAAACTGTGCCTGAAAGCATGATTTTTGTGGCATAGTAGATCTTGAAACTCAAAGCAGTCACTATTTGTTTACGGCTGTTTATTAACTTTGACATTTGGCAGTCAGTGAAATCAGAGGCCAAACGTACTCAGTGTATTCATCAATAACATCAATAATGTGAACAAAAGGGTTCTAGCAGGGTAGCTGTGTTGTTTGTTTCTTTTTGTTTCACATTCAAAATAGATACATAAAAATGAACGCTCCTTTGTAGAGTGGACAATTCAGCAGTTTGTCTTTGAAAGTACTGTGCTGAGTCATCTAATTGAAATATTGTGTCATATCAAAAGGCGGTCCAAATAGTTACTCTATAGTTTATCTGCCTTACAAATCTTTGCATGTTGTAATTATAACATTAGAGTAATTATAATGAAGTGATGACATATGTAATCAAGGGCAGATGTATTTTTAGATCTTCCTAAAAGGTGCCTATTTTAGGCATTCTTCCTGTCTTCTTACATTTAATAAATATCAAAGAGTGAGAAGATGAATTTAAATTTAAAAATAAAGACCTTATGTGTAAGCCCTGTTGTGGAAAAGATGTTATTTGTTGAACTATGAAAAACCCGTACTTGACAGGATATATCACAGGTAAATACTGGGTTCCTGAAGCTGAGTGTTAATGTAGCTCATCTTCGATTTAAGGTTTGCAAAATTTCATAGTCCATCCATCTCTCTTTAAAAGAGAGTTTGAATTCTGTATAGTTTCAAAGCAAGTTTGTTGTCCTGCCTTGGATCTTTTCCACACATCTGCAGCATTGCATTGCAATGGAAGTGTTTCTGTTGTGAGTTATCGCTGTTCTGGAGATATTGGGGGCTTAAACCCTTTTACACCACTCAACATTTACTCTAGTTTTAGTCAATTTTAGGATTTGTCTTCTTAATTTGTCAAGTAGTACTGAAGTTTCCTGTCCTTAAAAGGGAAAGTATAATTAGTTTGTTCATAAATATTCTTTCCTTTCTGACTATCTGTTGGTTCAGTGTTAATATGATGTGAAGGTGGTAGCATAATATTTCGATGAAACTTTAGTAGTTGTATCCAATGAGCTTGACTTCCAAGCATCAATGAAGGTAGTGGGCTTTTTGGATCACAGCCTATGTCGCTAAGCTGTGTTTCATCCTGTGGGTGGCTGGAAGCAGACACAGTGAACATCTGGTGTATTTTGGTGGCAAGAAGGGTAATGGAGATAAGCTACGAATTTTGTCAGGCTGGTAAAGATAAGCAGAGACCTATTAAGCTAAAAGGTCTTGTTTGAAATGCTCTGGTCTGTCCTACTCTGAAATGCTATGAAGCTCTGTGACAGGCTAGTCACATGCCCATGACCCTCTAATGTAGCAGCTGATGCTATTGGCACCTTTTCTTGGGCCATACTCCTAATGCCCTTCAATGAGCTCTTACTTCTGAGTAACAGGGGTTAACCTACAAGTGAACCTTTCACAGGATGGAGCTAGAGGGTAAAATTACCGTGATAATGCATACTGCAGGTCCGTCCTGTCTGGTTTGCAATGAGTGGAAACGTCGGTTGGCTTTAGCAGGAACTAGTAGTTCTGAAATGGTTAGTATGCCATAAATGGAAGGGTAAACCTTTTGAGTAAAATTAGAATGGGAATAATAAAATGGAAGGGATTGCAATGGAAGGGTTTAGTAACACCTATTAAGTCAGAACTGGTACGTTCCTAAACTGAAGAATTTTATGTTTGAACAGCGTAAAAGACATCTAGAGTCACTACATGTACGTCACATGGCTACTCAGAGCTTCCAACTGCACTGATTTCTAAGGCATTTGACATATTTCTGTAGCATGGTGTACAGTCACAAAAATAAACAGAGTGGAAAATTTGAGGTGAACGTGATTTATACAAACTTCAAGTATGTTACTTCAGTCAGGAATTTTTTCCCCTAAAACTACAAAAGAAAAATTAATTCAGGTAGTGTGTGTTGTACTTGTTTGATCCTATGTCAGCAGCAACTGAGGCATGGAGGTGAGCAAGATGGTGAAGAAGGCTGAGTAAGCTGAGGTATGTGGTAAGCCTGAGTCATTCGAGTCCTCCCTTTTAGTTAGTTTTCTGTGATGGTCCCAGCTTATTTCCTGAATGGGTGGGAGATGCTGGAATCCATGTAAGGTGAGGTGCACAGTCCTGGTGCTAGCTAACAGCCAGTCCATCCATTCATGGGCTGACCTGTTTCATGTGCATGGGTTTAGGAAGCCCAAATTACTCTTGTGAGCATTTCTGAACGCTAAACCCTTGCTGTGTTGTCACCTGTGACCGTAGACATCCCATCAGAGTTTTGTAACAAACACCAGTTCCCGATTAAAGGTATGCTGCTGCTTTAAAATGTGTTTACAAACCGGTAAATTGCATTTACATTTTCTCTCACTGAATTGAGTATGAGGTGTATCTGCTCTTTCTGTCCTCCTGCAGGGCCTTTACAGTTGCTGCTGTTGCAGTGAATAGTCTGGTCAGCATTTATGTGCTCCGAGTGTTTATTTCAGAGCACTTGTGAGGAAAGGCAGTTGGAGTGTTGGGTAATTAACTTGCTTTCACCTGGGTGTAATACTGTGGAAATTAATTACAGAAACAATCAATACTATTCTTAGCATTCCATTTATTATAACTATTGTGTTAGTGAGGCTAAGAGCAGGAAGAAGGAGAATAGTAGTCTCTTTCCCACCTATAATTATAGAGTAATATGTATTATATGTAAAAATGAGTATGTTTGTTTTTGAAGTAATAGGTGCTAATTGCAATAACTTGTACAATTCTAACATAGGACACTGTCTATAGATGCCACATCTGTTTGGTACTCAAGGCAATGTTTGTGTGCACACTTGGTTCGTTAGCTTTGTGACTGGTTTTGTGTACACTAAATTTTATGGTTGAAATGATTTTGCATAGTACAATCCAAAATGTTTCACAGTTGCAGCTGTTTAGAGCTTTTGAAAAGTAGGGCTCTTAACAAATATTCTGGGAAAGATATTGTAAGTCTTAAATTTTCACGTTTCACTTGGAATTTCCCATTGAAAGATACCTACCTTTTAGCATTAGGTGATCTTCCCTAATCTGCCTAAGCCCTTCAGTCATTTAATGATTAACTAGAAGACAACAGTGGTGCAGGTGAAGTACAGTATACATAATGCCTGCTTTTGAAAAGCCTTTTTAACCAGCACAGTATACTTAGAGTCCAAATAACCAGTGATTAAGAAAGGGCCCTGTTTTGCCATCTTTTCCAGCAACAACATGAAAGAAACCTGTGTTTCTCTAAAGCAACAACTTCTTTAAATTAACTAAGTGATAACTTTACAATTTGTTCTTCTTTACAACTTGTTTGTTCGTTTTAAAAGACAAATGTAATTATCCACTTACTGAGAAATAAACGACTTGGGCTGTTGGTTTTAGTTATGTGATTGCTGATAGTAATCTCCTTTGCTTAGGGAAATATTACACAAATTTTACAATTGGGCATTATGGAAAGAGATACTCAGTCTTGTTGACTCTCTTTTAATCTTAACTTGTTCCAACATCTCCCGTGGTGTTCCTGTTAGCACAGTTGCCACTGTTTAGGCAATTGTCTTGCTTAAACTAGGAAGTGTTTAAAAACCCAAACAATAAACAACACAAAACATTTTGATCAGCTCATTTTTAAACATGGTTTATCACTTGAGTAATTGGGATTTAATACTCTTAAAATTGTGCAATCATTGTATTTTCACTGCACATACTGCCCAGATAGTAGTTTTTGTTTGATACAATTATGGATCATTTATTTCAAGAGAACATTTTTGTAAACTTGATGGGAATAATGGGGAAAAGTTCCTGAGAAACCACTACTGTATTTTCTTTTTCATCAGTGACTTACTTTTTTGATGACAGCTGAAGAATCAAGGTAGGAAAACAGAAAACATAACAACATAATGTGGCCTTAGAGATAAGGCTCCATGACTAGAAAACGTTCTGTAACTTTGGGTGAATAGCTAAAAAGGTGCTTGGTCATGGCCGGCTGAAGAGACTGACTAAAATAAACTTTTCCTGGATTATTCAGGATGTACTACGGTAGTATCATTTTTTTTTGTTTTAGTTTTCACTTAGCCCTCTCTTGAATGTTGATTCAGTTTCTAGTATATGTAGAGAAATGCAACTATCCTAAATTTTTCTGCATTGGTCAAGTTCGTGAGCAAGTAACTGAAAGGAAAGCCTGTGAATTTGTACATTACAGTTTGCAGAAGTATTCAGCATCAATTTCTTTCTTTTTTTTTTTTTTTCCTTTCATGTTAAGTTCAGTATAATGGTTCACCAGGATGCTTACACAGATCTCTTGCATTTAAAGATACTCAAACAATATGATTTAAGAAGTGTTTCCAGGGTGGACCTTTCCAAAGCAATTTAATTTTTACAGTTTCTTTGATGCACACGTTAAATGTTTCAGTTCAAGCAGCAGAAGCATTGTTAGATAACACAGAAAGAATACCTAATCCATAAATACACCATATGTAGTTCTGTATGTTCTACCTAGCTTATTCTATATAGTCTCTGTACATAATTTATATAGACTATATAACCAAATGTAATTGGGGTTTTTGCTTGTGTGAGTTTTCATATAGATAAGCACCATCTGTACACATGTGCCACTGTAAACAGAATTGCCAAGTGGATGTGTGCAGAAATCTGATGTGCATCTTTGTGTCTTCTCTTTTGACTGTTTGATCCATAGAGTTTGTAATCGTGTGAGAGTTAACACAGAAGTTACTGGTTGTTCAGCAGTTGCTTTAAGGAAAATGTATTTGGTGGATTTATTAAAATGCTAATTAGGGCAAACAAAGGGAAGATGTTTTCTTAAGAGTAGGGCAGATGGTCTGGACCTTTTCTACCAGTCTGATTTCAGTCTGCACGTGAACAGAAAGAAAAGGAAAAAAACAGAGAATGAATATGGCTTTTAAAAGAATTGGTAGCAGCTGCTTTATTAAGGTAAATGCCTGATTTTCTGTCAGTAATTGCTTTCTGGAGCTTTTTTCCTCAATTACTAAGGCCGACAGAATATGGAATATTGGGACTTTGCAAAGCTGACTGTTAACTTTGTTGCTTTTAAAAATATGTAAGATAAACTGCATTGAAAAATCCAAGACAGTTATCTCTAACATCACTAATTTGATGTATGCTCAGGAAGCTCTTTGTTAAACCTGCTGAAGGCTTACATATAATATTTTGGCAGGGTATGTGGCTGGGCTTTTATGACAGCATCTGAGTAAATTTATATGTAGAATATTTTTTAAGCCAAACCGCATTGCTTCAATATCCTTTGAAAATACAGCTGTTTCCTGAAGTGTATGTAGCCACTGTGGGAGCTGAAGTTGTTTATTTCTTTGAGATTAAATTTGGCTGCGATCTGTTCCTACACTTCACTGGAGAACCTTCACAGCCAGCATGACTCTGAACTGCCTGGTGCTCACCTTGCCTTTTTGGCCCAAGTATTAACACTTGGATGGTGGACCAGCCTCTCCCTTTCAATAATGAATTAAAAACTAGAGAGGATCAGGTATCCACTAGGCTAACTAACTAGGATGACTCCCAGTTTGAACCACAGCTCAAGGAGCAGAACCTCAACTTTAGATAAGTCAGAGGTAGAGAGGTTGCACACTAGGCTGCTGGTGGGAACTACCTTCTGATCTATGCCTTTCCAACATAGCATCAGCCATCCGATGTTAGTCATCTGTGCTTAAAAAAAAAAGGGGGGCGGGGAAGAAAGATGCCCATAGAATGGAAAAAGCATAAGTGGAAATCTGTAACCTGCCCCTTCCTAATGTAGAGATTTGCTGCTGACAATATGTGACAGCCACTTGTTTGAGTGTATCTTGGGTGTGCTTTGTCATCGGATGTGCAAACCTTCCAGGTGCTGAAACAGGGCCACTTTGGAAAGAAGGAGACCATAAGGTTATTCAGTTATAAAAACACAAATGTCTATTCCAACCAGGCTAAAATTCTGACGTGGTCACACAAGCCATTAGACGGCGAAGAGATATTTGTCTTTGTACAATCTGGGTCTTGGGAACTCTGTTCACTGTCACCTGCTGCTCTGGTTACAGTTCTCTCGGGCAATTACATGTTTATGGAATAACATAGTTCAGCTGGTCTGTAAAATATTTGAAACTCGTCCTACCATAAGCCAACCAGAAGATTAATAATACAATCTGAATTTTGTCATTGTTGTCACTGGCTAATTATTAGAGCACAAATTAATTTTTTAATCTGTCACACTGTAGTTTATTTTGAGGAGGGCATCCTACAGCTTGTATAATTTTGCGGGTTGGTCTTTGGTTCCTATTCCACAAGAAGGGGTATAAGCTTAGATAATTACAGTGGGCAACACAGGCACAATATGCTGCATGTAGCTAGCGAAAATACAAATACACCCTGTTGCACTCTTCTGTTCGTGGAGTGAACCCCAGGGCAGACACTCCCTCTTGGGCTAAGCCCTGATATGCCAGAAAGCCAGTGGAGCCCAGAGGCTACAGTACGGCACAGAGGCACCCGCTCCCCAGCTGCTTCTCCATGGTGGGGCTGGAGGGGGGGTTTGCAGCACAAGGGTGGCTGCACTCTGACTTTCAGGATTGCTAAGACTGAACAGGCTCCATTTCAGCAGAAATGGAAATCTGAGGAAAGGTGTAGTAGAATACACATCAGATACTATAGTAGTCAGGCAGGGAAAGTGTTTAGCAACCTTAATGTCCTTAAACAAACTGGTGCTCCCTTCACGTTTGTGAAACCTCATCTCAACTTTTTGGCAGCTCTTCTGAAGGGTGACATGCAAGCTGTGGTTTATTGCTCTTTTAGGGCTTTCTTCTTGCATGGGCACAGCTTAGGGAGAACTTATCCCCACTCAGAGAGTGTTGTGGTAGATGCAGGGGGGATCTCCTTTGCTGTGCACTTGGAATGAAGCACTGAATGTCTCTGTCTTCATGTCACTGAATATTCATAGCTTAGGAGAAACTGTATACTGGGAACTGTGGGTTTGCTATCTGGAAAAATGGTGTGGAGCTCTTGTGTGCCAGTGAGAAAAGAAGGAAAAAACACTTTTTTTTTTTTTTTTTTTTTTTAAAAAAAACAAAACCAGCAAGTGACACTGATACCTGTCCAGAGGTTCTCTTATTGCATCCCTCTCCCAGTGGGCTGCGGACCACAGCCTTTCAGTGCAGTACAGGCTGAGCAACATTTGTATTGTCACCTCCATGGTAAATATGATGTAGAGTCTGAAGTATTTGCCATGTGTTACAAGTCAGTCTGCTTCTCTGTCTGCCTGGATTCCTGCCCTTATTTGTAAGGCTTAGAAATGCACTCATCACTAATGGTGGTGAACAAAGCAATCTTCTTGTCAAACTACTCAATCAGTGCAGTGGTGCTTTTCAAAGTGCTGCTTTTCCATTTCACTTCAACTGTCATATGGTGGAGCTTCTCTCAGTCCCACTGGGAATTATTTCATAGTCTGATGCACTTGAGGATCACAAAGTGCTACATGATTATCAAGTTTAAATTCTTTCTTTCTTTGGCTTCCCCCTTTCATTTACCCATCTTTCATCTGCTTAGCTTGTTAACATTTCAGTTCTTTTCAAACCTTCACCCATACAATCATTCCCACCAAATCTTAATTTTGTGGTGGTACTATAAATCAGTTGATGTCTTTTGAGCTCATTGCTTTCCTGACCTGAGTTTTCTTTGCATCTCATAGACTGCGGCATTTAGAAGTGTACTGGGCTTACAGCTTGCTCAAATAACTTACTTAAGAATTATGTACTGGTGTGATACCTTGTGGTAAGGTTTGTGTCTACCATTTATCATCTTTTAATTTGCTGATAATGATATAAAGCAATGAAGTGGAAAAAGATGGGGATTATATGCATATTAAAGGGTTTTGCCTGAACAATCTTGCCCTGACCTGTGAGAATTTGTTTATTTGTTTAGATCTGCTAGAGAAGTCTCGTGTTGTTAAGCAGCCAAGAGGTGAAAGAAACTTTCACGTTTTCTATCAGATACTGTCTGGTGCATCGGAAGACTTCCTCTGTAAGTGTTGCCCTTGTGCCATTTTGAGATATGAGTTATTTGTATTTAATGTGCTGTTCCACTCACATCATCTTCTGTGGGATTAATTTTTTCAAATTATTGGTGGTAGTGGCAATAGTAATACCTGAAGAAAATATATGATTTGTTATTATCCAGATATCTGAGTCAGAATTGGCTTTGCAATGTATTATAAACAAAGAAGAAAGCCTATTGTTATTCAGAAGCCTTGAAACTAAAAGATCCTTGAAGAAAACTTAGTCCTGCTAATAATAACACTTCTTGACAATACTGGTTCTGGAATAAAAGAGCTACTGACAAGAATGCTGTTACTAATGATATTTTTATTTGATTTATTAGGCAAACTCAAACTGGAGCGGGACTTCAGCAGATACAACTACCTGGGCCTTGATTCTGCCAAAGTGAATGGAGTGGATGATGCTGCAAACTTCCGAACAGTTAGGGTAAGAAGGAACAGGGGTTGGGTGTAAACTCCAAAGGGCTCAATGCTTATGCCCTCAGTCTGGCCATTCACGCTGGGCTAGGAGGGACGTCTTTTCTGAGTGCTAGCACTTTTCATGCAAGGGTATAGTGTGTTTGCACGGGGTAGCTTAGTTACAACTAGAAGATACAAAGAACCAATTTTCTGGAGTATTCTAGTAGGAATACAGAGAAGACCGAAAGAAAAAGAAAAAAAAGAAGGGGAGAAAGAAAGCCAAGACCCCTTGATCAGTTCATGGAAAAGGTTATGTTGTCTAGTTAGTTGCTTATACAACTGAGCTTCATCAGCCTGGTGATGCTGACCAAGTTGAAAGAAAAACATGGCTGGGATGGTTCTCAAGATGATTTACCATGATGTTTTTACTTGATTGTACTCAAGGACAAGAAGAAAACAGGACCCTGATACCCCATGTATGTGAATTTAGATTCTAAAAGTTACAGGCTTTTAGAGCAACAGAGTGGACTGAGAAGACAGCAGTACCTGTTCATTTGATTGTGAAAAATTGGGTTGGGTTATAAATTAAATTAAGTGGCTAAAAGAAAAAAAAATACTGCATTTTAGAAACCCATAAACTGAATGAATTCTAGAAGTGGGCTGGAATGACATGCCGACTAGATTACCAGATCTTCTTTAACCTGTCTTTTATATTAAAAATCTTACTTATCTAAGCATAATAATTATATCATGTTCTTTTTGCAGCAAAAGCGTTCATAGAACATTTCTAATTCACGCTAATACAGATAAATGGGGCATTTTGAAGTATGATCTATCTAAATGTAGATTCTTTTATTTCATAACTTTGTCTGTCCCCTTTCCAGAATGCAATGCAGATTGTTGGGTTTATGGATCATGAAACACAGTCTGTTTTTGAAGTGGTGGCAGCCGTTCTGAAACTGGGAAATATTGAATTTAAGCCTGAATCTCGCGTGAATGGCCTAGATGAAAGTAAAATCAAAGATAAAAACGGTAAGATAAGATCAGTGATGGGAGGAAAACCACTAATTTGTCTGAAGTCATTATTAATTTTGTAGTTTCTGTAGACATACAATATCCTTACAGAGGAATTAAATTAGATCATTTCCAAAAATCACCCACAGGCAGATATGGGTTGAATTCTGTGCAATTTCAGTCACTCTGTTTGAAATTCCAAAAATGACTATTTTCTTTTTTTCCACTTTATTGTCACTTTCTTCTGAGATGTTAAATGGTGCTATGCCTTTCTGTAACTGCTTGGTTATTCTGCAGTGGAGGCTTTTTGTTCTTTTGCAGTGGGTATCTCTGTCTGTAATGTCAGATTCATTCGGTCATGTTTTTGCAGTTGATACATTTTCGAAGTTCATTTATTTTCATTTGAAAATTTTTCATCATGAAAAATAGTCTTTGATAAATGGAAGAAAAGTTTCTTCACAGAAATAACCAGATAGAAAGTGTTTTCAAACCAATAACTCTGGTTCCTCATGCTGTGCATGTCTTTAAAAACTTTGCTTGGTAGGCTAGGGGGCAATGGGTGTGGATGGGGGACACTTCTTTTGAAGAAAACCTGTTTTGGGAAAATGGTGAAGTACTTAAAAGCTAATAGTTTTGGGGAAGAAAATGCAATGATACAAAAGGATTCATTATATTTACACTCTCCTTTTTCATGCTAGAGCTCAAGGAAATCTGTGAGTTGACGGGTATAGACCAGTCTGTATTGGAAAGAGCTTTCAGCTTCCGGACGGTTGAAGCCAAGCAGGAGAAAGTTTCAACAACACTAAATGTGGCTCAGGTAAAAAGGGGTCCTCATTTTAAAGGAAAGAATTGTTTCAAATTGCAATTTATTCTACATGACTAAACTATAACTGCCCAAATGAAAACTACAACTAATAGGCTGTACTGAATAAAACATATCACTAGCATAAGTGTGTTTTTTCTTCAGCATTTTCTAAGTGTTCAAATATACTGGGTGTTTTGTTTTTGTATGTGAATTACCTCAGAAAGATGAAGGATAGGAAAATGTGGCAGAGAATGAAAAAATGAAACAGTTCTGCACAAAAGGCGTATTGAAAGTATTGTGGCAGGCTGTTTTTGTTTAGAGACACTGGTGTAATTTCATGTGAGTTGTACGCCCAGGGCTGCTGAAAAACTTTTGCTGCTGAAAAACTTTTGCTACCAGTGTGAATTGATCTTTCTGTAATGCTGCGGAGCCAGTGTGATTGCCACCTGTGTCTCATCAGCTC